ATATTAGAGGATAATGCTTGTATAGGTGAGATGTAACAGAGTAGTATGATACCATTGAAATGGCAAGGCAAATTGCCAAAGGATGTCAGTGGTTTCAATTACTGTATGGCTATGGCTTTGATTATCAAATAATATTTTGGTGGTTTGGATGGTAAATGATAACAAAGGTAGCCATTGTGAGAGCTAAGGTTACAGTCAATGCCATCCTGTATTACATTCTAAAGTTTTACTCAGACTATAAACTTTTATTAGATGTGTATAAGAGACAGGTCCGCTATGTCTGGCAGCCAAGCTAGGCTTAGAGGTTGTTACAGAGGTAATAATACTTGGATATATATAAAGAAGAATAAATGGAAAAGAATATAAGTAGTTGAATTCAAATGAATGGTTTGTTGAAATGGTTAGTAGAGTAGCATAAATGAGAATCGTTTACTCAAGCAAATTAAAAGAAAAGAAACTTTCCATAAGTATTTGAAAGCATAGATTGTAGGAAGTACTTCATCCTATTGAGTGCCAAGTGCCACTTAAAATATTAGAGGATAATGCTTGTATAGGTGAGATGTAACAGAGTAGTATGATACCATTGAAATGGCAAGGCAAATTGCCAAAGGATGTCAGTGGTTTCAATTACTGTATGGCTATGGCTTTGATTATCAAATAATATTTTGGTGGTTTGGATGGTAAATGATAACAAAGGTAGCCATTGTGAGAGCTAAGGTTACAGTCAATGCCATTCTGTATTACATTCTAAAGTTTTACTCAGACTAAACTTTTATTTGACAAAAACATGTAATATGCCTTAATATGGTCATGATGACATATATATATAACCATATATAGGAACATCATTGCTATATTTGGGCATACAACAGTTTTTTGAAAATTGGATTTTTACAGTCCAATTCATCATTTTACAAATATGCACTAACATAATACTCATAAAAATTACTTTAAGATTAATTATTTATTAAGAATATTTTAACATCAGTTTTTTTTTCTTACAGATATTAATCTGTGTTCTTGGAGCCAACCCTAATGCTTGTAATCCAATTAATGGCTGGGCACCACTCCACTATGCTGCCAAGTATAACCACATAGACACCATGAGGTTTGCAACACTCTGTAAAAGTTCACAACATGATAATATAATTAGAAGATTTATGATTAGTAAAACATTAGTTAGAACATTATTTAGTAAAAAAATTGGTGTATGATAATATACAATAGTAAAAATATATTTTTGTTGCTATAGTATTATTTATAGCTGTAGTCATATTAGCTGTGTCAATACTAGTAAAGCCTTGTGCAGATTATCATATTCTTTTGACAAAAACATGTGACATGCCTAAATATGGTCATGACAACATCACATCATGTCCATATATAGCCATGGTTCTTGACGGCCTGTGGGCCAAATTTGTAATAAGAAGTATATATAAAACATATTAAAAGTTTGAGGACATACATTTTCTTTAAAGTAAAGACAAAAATGCAACCCTGGGGAATGTGCACAGGGATGGTTTAAAAATGATCAAGATAATATAGTCCATAATTTGAATACAGTAAATAATGCCAAAAATTGATCACCAGGTGCTTTTTGTGGTTCTATTCTTCATTGTGTGCTTCAAACAAGAGAAAAAATGTGCTAACACATAAAAATGTAGCGGTTACCCTAATCAGATCTAAAATTTAACCCAGTAAACAGAACTATCAAGATTACTATTCTTATTAGCTCTGCTAAATTTGACAGCAACTCAGAGAAAGTACTTTATCATAGACATGTTAAAATTGTAATGATAATTTTCAAATTTGGAATTTCCAAAAAATCCTGTCAAATATAACTATTTTTGCAGAAAGAGTTTCACCCAGATGTAGAGGGGAATTTCAAAAGTTAAGAGAGGTGAAAAGCCTTATGAGGAACGCCTACACACATTTGGCTGGATGTCTTTGACATTTTATAATGATCATGTTTATATTATCATTAATTACAGTTGTCTCCTCAAACGAGGTGCTGATATAAGTCTTGAGTGTGGTTTTGGTTACCGTCCTGATGATGTCGCATCTCGCTTAGGCCATGATGAATGCCGAGATCTTATTTGTGCCAAAAGGCAACATAGAATTGAGGAACTTTCTAGCATTGCCAAGAAGGTATGTTGCTATAGGTAATGTAAGAATGATTGTGTATTTGATAGTTAACACTCTGACCACCAGGGGTTTGAAAAAATAGTTTCAGCCACCGCCAGACTTTTTAGCAAATTTTAACACACTTCCGAAGCTTATTGAGAGTGAGTATGTGATCAGATTGACACGTAATGAATACTACAAGAACTAAAAATATTTTAGCTTTACAGTGGTACCAAACACAGAGTGCTAAATGCATTGCCCAAACTGACAATCAGACCATTGCAAAATGTATGTTCTTCCTCTCCCCCTCTCCTTTTGGAATCTTCCAAATGTAAAGCCGATGAGGTGGAGGTTACAATTGAAGATAGAAGAAGATAGAAGACGCAAAGTAAACTAATGATGATGATGATGATGAATAGTAATTTTAACAAAGAAGCTCTAAAAATAACATCAGTAGAATGGAACTGAACAATTTCATTTAAAATCTGTAGTTTTCAATTTTGGTTACAAACAATGTAAACTTGTTGGTATAGTTTTAATATATGGGGGGAGGGAGGTGGGGAGGCTGCCATGCCAAAACCAGCATCAATGACCAAACCAACAAAATTGAATTTTTAATATATTCATATTCTCAATATTATAAGCTTTAAAATGATAGGTAATTTACTAGAATCAACTTACTATTGTTGACATTTTGAGTGAAAGTATTACAGCTTCTCTAATAATATAGATATAATAGTGGCACATTCTTAGGCTAATTACTGCCTAACCATATAGGGTATGCCTCATATGAGTCTGTTTCTCTTGTAGCAGCTTTTAAGTATATCTAACTCCAGTATATCTAAGTTTGAATGCACCAACTCTCTATGGCACTTGAACCAAAATCTTTTTATTGTGATCTCACTCAATTGGATTAGGCTGACGGACAAGGATTTGCCAAACAGCAACATTAGCTCAACCCGCCCTCGATAAACTAACGTTACGTTATCTCACTATATTAATTGGATTAACACATTATCAAGGATAAGTACTGAGTGTTTAACACTGGTGTCCTGGGATTCAATTATGGGTAAACGGATTAGTTGCCTTTTTTATGAGGTTTTAATTGTTCTTTACCGCCGAAAGTGCGGTATTCTAACGTTAGTTTAAGGAGGGCTGGTCGGCCTAATGAACCTAAATCATTTTTCTAAGTGGCATATCCCTTCACAAGACAAACATAAACACATGATGCTCTTACATAGACTAAGTCTCATTATGATCGCTTAGGAAGCGGAGTGGTTTTGGCTTGACGAAAAATGCGGTTAACGTGACAGAAAAATAACTCAGGGGCCTGGGATTAGAAGGCAAACATTTTAACCACCAAGCTAGGGGTTAAGATGTTTGTAGTGGGCAACTCCACTACAAATGTAGTTACTGACGCATGCACTTCATTCCGTAAGTGGCAGGCTCCCCACTGTCGAATGTGAATTAGAATAAAATAAAACTGTGAACTTCTAATTCAGCTATACTAGATATATCAATAGCTGTTTAAAGAATACACGAAAAATAAATGAAAACTTTACTTTGTTATCTTTTCATAGGGTAACCTACAAGCACAACAACTGCGCCATTCAGACCTCTTCAATATTAATGAAGATGGTAACACGCTCATAATGTCAGCAGCTATTGCTAACAGGTATTTTTTTTAAATATTGGTTTGATTAGGCAAAAAAGAAATGTGTTGCACAAGGCAGACTAACGCAAAGTCTTGAAAACCTTTTAAATATGTATTTAACCAAGCAGGAGCCTGGCTGGCACCGAACCACAGCATTAGGCCTGAGCCTAGGCCTTAATTAACGAAGCAATTTGGCGATTGACTGGCCGACTATGATTTTCCCAATGATCACCCTAAGAGTTGGGACATCACAGCAATTTTTATTGGCCAAATACAGTATAGTGAATGTCTGATCAGAACTTTGTTCAGTCTGTGAATCTTGTAGTGTGTGCTTATAGTTTTTGTGTTGTGGTATTTGTGGACTTTAATAAAATTATTTGCATATTCTGTTATATTTCACTAGATCAGACAATCTGACGATTCTTCTCAAGATGAAAGATAGTCCCATAGATGCTCAGCATATGAAAGTAAGCTAACATACAAAACAGTGGCTTATATATTTCACAGGGCTGCACCCCTTCCCCTCCCCCCACTGGAAAAGTTTGATGAAGTAGTTAAATCACCTTATCATCTTACTTGGTGGGCTAGCGCATCCTCTTTTAATCTTCGAGACCCCCCCCCCCACTTAACCCCTTCATCTAGATGTGTATAAGAGATTAGATATGTCCACTGATACAAAACCAATATTGGTGTTGTTGATTATATCTTTATACAACAGAGTTTCAATTTCACTTTATTTATAAACATAAATACATGAAGTGTGTTTCCCTGAGTAAAGAATATGAATTTCGAACATAGAAATAACATGCTGTAATCACCTAATAATTACAGTATTTATTACAATAGGTGAATCATTATTCTAATTTGATAATCGCTCTGTCCAGAAAATTCCTTATTTACAATTTATTATTAGCATCTTAATTCCTTAATACAAGTCCCCAATTACATTTTATTATAAACGTAGTTTATAAATAATCGTAACTATAGCTATGTACTAAAACTATCATCATGATATCGGTAATGGCAAAAGCTTGTGGAATACAATGTGATACTCTAAGGTACCGTATCTGTGTTTGTACGTTATTGTGATTATTATTTTAATGCAGTCATTTTTTTGTCTTTATTTTCAGACTGGTCAAACAGCTCTCACATTAGCAGCTATTAACGGCTGTCAAGATGCTATTCAGACGTTGCTCCATTACAGAGCAAACCCTGTTATCAAAGATGTTGAGGGAATGACACCCCTGCAGTATGCTTGCAAGCTAAAATGTGTTGAAATTGCAGCGGCCCTTGCCTCGGAAACTAGAGGCCTTACAGTAGGTGTATTTTGTATTTTAATGTAGAATTTTCGGTGAATATGTAATGAAAGGATGTTGGGGCAGATCCAGAGAAAAATTTGGGTAGGTGCCATCTAATGCATGAAGCACCGAGGTGCCGGGGAGGGGTTTGTTGGGGTGATGTGACTTCTGTTTGGAAATGCTGGACTATTGCCACTGGTACAGGAAATTTAAAACAAAACTTATCTTTCATTGGATTACCATGCTCACCTCTTTCTCTTTTCTTTTCTTCTGTTTTTTTTTTTTCTTTTTTTGGTTGGTGGGGGGAGGGGCTAGCCTGTGCATTTTTCCCCGGATGTAAAGAACTTCCACAGGGTCACATTTGTTATGTCCAATTCCAAACTAATCTCTACAATTAAGTGAAAGCAGCTAAAAGGCCACCAAATAACTACTTTTCCATTGCACTACTACAGGGATGCTTCTATTCTGAATTTGCTTTGTCTCTTGCGCACTACATTCTTTTAAAAGTCACTTGACTTTAATTACCTTTGTCTCAATGACATCACCATTAGCCCCAATATTTATCAGCTTAGATTCATATGCCAGAAGAATTAATGGTATAATGTAAGTACAGTGTATGGCTAAAGATGTATGAAGGTTTTGAGTAAAAATGTCCCCCATTGAGGTTTGGTTCTAAACCCTCCAATTACTTTTTCATTGATCTGCCATCTGAGATTATTAGGCTAAGCTGACATGCCCATTTGTTTTGTTTTTTTTATCAAGTAATGTTATGAATACTATATTTGTTCATAATTTGCAGGGTTTACAACAGATATCGACATACTCGTTAAATGACGAGATCAAAGAGTTGCTCAGCTTGATCAGACAGCGCCGACAAACGGAAATTGTGAATCCCACATTATTTGAGTGCGCCATCACAGGAGATGTGAAAAGATTGTTCTGTACATTAGAGGAAGGAGACAATGTGAACCCCATCACAGGGTCAGGAGACTGGCCAATGTATATGGCCTGTGGGAATGGTCATTTGGAAGTGGTCAAGCTGTTGCATGAGGTAAGGGTAAATTTCATTTTGGTAGGGGCTGATGTGGGTGTTAGATGAGCATGATTTGCATGTATTTGTCATGATACACTTAGAATTTTTTTTTTTCTTTTTGCATTTCTCTGACGATCTTTAGAGAAATAAGTTCGCGAAACAAGGTGTAAAAAAATTCTTACCTTAATGAACTGCTAGTGAATAAGCGCCTATTTTCAAATAAGTGCTGCACAGAAGCTTGTAAAGCCCCTTTCAGACAGAAAATACCGCAATAATACCCTAATCACGCCGTCGTTATTGCCGGCACAGACCCTTTCCCACAGCTAGTTAAAATCCTGTCTGAAATGGTTCTCGCGGAATGGAGTATTTGATGTCTGTGGCGCTTGTGCTTGTTAACAACGAGGGCGCAATTCTTTGTTTACTCCATTAATCCAATATGGCCGGAGACGAAGTCAAAAAACTGCTGCTTTGCAAATGTTTTTGAATGCTTGCTATGTTTGCAATACATATAAATTTGAGAAACAGAAGGTTTCTAGTGCGTTTCGTTCAAGTTAAGAAAGAACTTAGGAAGCGTTTAAGGCAAGGCCGGCTTGAATTTCGAGGAGCTAGGTGCAGGCGATTTTCACGTCTAAAGAACGGTCAGCTAGCGATTTCATCGGCTTTGTTAGCAGCAGTTGATGGCTCCTCGTGTGACCGTCTGATTTGTTATGGCTCTGTGCATAAGACGGCGATGAACCCTGTACCCTTTCACATTGAGTTGGGCAAAGCTCGCTACGGTATTAATGCGGTATGAAGATTAGGTCCCGATGAGGTCTAACTGAAGGCGGCTTTTAGGCTTATTTACCCTTTCACATAGAACACCGGCGTTCGATAAATACGGTATTAATACCGTTTTGCAGGTCTGTCTGAAAGGGGTATAAGAGTTATATACTGTTTGTAGGCCTATGTATTACAGCTTTTTTTTATTTTGCTTGAAGTGGTATTAGAAACTGCATACAATGTAAATGAAGCTACAGGTTACATCATCTTAATGTTCAGAATGTTTACATTTTAATCATTTATAGATGGATGAATGTTGTCCTGTATTGGTTGGCTTTTCCAATTTTTTTTTACCCATTTGACTTGGCAGTTAACATTAATTAAATTTATTTGTTACTAGAATGGTGGGGATATATCTAGTCAGCATCCAACAACAAAATCCACAGTTCTTCATGTAGCATGTTCACGGGGGTTGGTAGATATAGTCAAATACTTGATTCAGTTCTGTAGTTATGAACGTCAAGTACCATCCAGCCAACGTATCCAGGCCGTAGACTGTTCGGGTAAATTGGATATTGATGCTGTAAATAATCAGGGTTTAACTGCTTTGCAGATAGCTGCTTCAAAAGGTGAGCGAATGGGTTTCATTTTCCTTTTATTCCTTTAGGCACATGGCCAAGGATTAGCAATCACTGTCCCAATAAATATATGGCAATTCCTTCACATGACAAACATAAACACATGATGCTTTACATTGATCAAGTCTCGTATGAGGCTTAGAGAGTGGAGTTGTTTTGGTCGTGAGAAAAAAAATCCTGTTACCTTGGCAGGAATTGAACCCAGGATCCTGGGATTGGAAAGCAAGCACCGTAACCACCTTTGTAATCAGTTGATAATAATAATAAAAATTTTATCAAAAATTCACCATTTTTATTTAGATCATCAGCGTCCATATATTGTATGCAGCAAATCTTTAGCTCCACAGACATAAAAAATGCAGGGGTCTCAAGCTCCTTACACAACACAGAAGTCTCCTAATAATAGCACAGTCTCCCACACTCCCAAAAGCAAGCAAAAATCTTTCAGGAACTAACCTAGCTTTAGCAAATTTGAGATGTTTGCACGTTTTTGTTAGAGCATTTTCTTCTTAATGCGCAGCAAACTACAACTGGATGAGTTAAGAAAGCTAATTTAAAACCAGGTATTTCTTAGATGTATTCTTTCAACTTGGTACCACTGAATATCCACTTTTTGGTGCCAAAGTTTCCAAATGGAAGAGCTTTCTTGATTTAAAAAAATTATTTCATTGATTTTTGTAATTTAATTTATTATATTTGAATTACCAGGTTACAGTAAGCTGGTAAAGAAGCTGTTACAGTTGGGAGCCAGCTCTGCCATCTTGGATCGTCGTGGGAAACTTTATACATGCCGAGAGTTTGAAGGTGTTCAGGTTTTGATTGAGACACACAGGAGAACTAGAACAGACAGGATTATGTTAGCAATCAAAGTTGAAAAAGAAATAAAGATGCTAAAGAAAATCTGGCAGGTATTAAACATTTAAAAAAAAATTATTTATTGTAATAAGTTCTGCTCTTTCACAAAAAACTTAAATAGCAGAAGAATGAGCAGTTCCGCGTTTTCGCATTAAAATTGATGGAACATCCACCCTTCCGTGAGGGGGTTATAAATTGACCATTTTAGTGGGGAAACTACAGGAAACAAACAAACCAGAGTCATTTTTATTATATAGCAGACAGGGTGGAATTGCTCTTAGTGAACCCACAATGCATTTCGAACAGATGTTCCACTATATTGGGAAGCTGCTCTATCTTTTGTTATTTATTATCTTGGCCTTGCATCAGCGCTTTGGTCTCCAAAAATATTTGTAATAACCACGGTGCTTACTTGGATGTGTATACGAATATGATAACACTTTATTGCAATTTGCATATACAGTAATAATATCAATGTAAAATCTCATTAACAAATAATTAAAAAAACAAAGAACAAATGGGTAAAGTGGAGGAAAACTAATAAAAGGGACAGGAACACCTTAAAACAGTAAAAGTAAAGAATATAAAACATATTAAAACAATGTAAAGCAATTGGAACAAATAGGTATTAAAAGGGCATCAGAGAAAAAAAAAGAACATAAACTATTACTGGTTTGGTTAACTATACTATTATGTTATTCAAATTATTACTATTATTATTATTAATATTATTATTATAATATAATATTGTATACATTATATATTATATAGTCATCTAAAGAATGTCAAATATATATATATATATATGTATATGTGCTGTCTCTTATACACATCTAGATGTGTATAAGAGACAGGTGCATAAGAAAGAAATATGTCTGCTTTGCAAAATCCTAGTAGTAAAAATAAAATGAAACAAACAAACATATAATGTGTCAATTCTTTGTTACAAAACAAACAAACAAAAATAACATCTTATAGATTACCATCCTTTATAAAGCCCAGCATTCGTATTACAGTTTTTTTGACACATTACAAAATTGTCTCAATACAATGTGCTATAATAGAACTATTATAGAAACAAGGAACACAGAAAAAATAAAAACAAAACGAAGTACATTCATGTGTGTGGAAAAATAAATTAAACAAACAAACAAACAAAAATAATGTCTTATCGATTACCATCCTTTAAAAAGCCCAGCATTCATATTACAGTTTTTTTGACACATTACAAAATTGCCTTAATACAATGTGCTATAATAGAACTATAGAAACAAGGAACGCAAGAAAAATAAAAACAAAACGAAATACAATTTAGGTCATAATATGAGCTTTAAAGACAGGAAGTTACACAAATCCAGATGTAGTTGGTAGTATTAACACAGAGCATTGGGAGTACTTGGTTTTCCCAGGTTAGTTTTAAAAATATAGATTAGGTATGACCTTGCACATAAGCTATTTCTGGAATGAAAACAAATACAGGATGCTGTTTTTCTAGTATTGCAATGTTATTGTTTTTTATTTCTTGATGTTTACATTTCTGAAATTCAATTTTCCTCCTGCCATATATTTGTACATTAATTGTAACAGTGGGATTTTCTTTCAAGTTTCATATTTAAAATCATTTATTTTCATTTTTGTGCTGCCAAAAAAAAATGTACAATATGAAATAAGTTGAAGGAACAGCCTTAATAATTCATTGTACTTACAGAAATAACAAATTAATGACAAACCAGCCATTATCTCATGGCTAAAATTAGAATTTTTTTATACAATAGTGAATTCAATCTAATGGAAAAGTGAATACAATTACATCGATTATCACAAATTGATTATCCAAAATTGACCTTAACAAATACATTACATCCAATTTAAGGAGGAAATCTCAATTGGTATGTTCAACAGGTATAGACATAGGTAATTAGAAAACAATACAATATTTTGTTTTTGATGTGTAATGGATCAACTCAGAAAAATCAATGATTTATTATATGAATTTGTAAACCAGGTTTTTCAATGCACTCTGCTCTTCTTGGCTTCTTTTTTAAAAAAAATTTCATCCACACCCTACAGTGACCAAAGTCACCATACAGGATTGAACAACAAGAAAGTACACAATACAAATACAAAACACTGCAAGACAACACAACTACAAAAGCTAAATTTTAGAATTATCTTTTTGTTTTACCATTCACCATTTACAGAATTGAACGACAAGAAAGTATACAATAAAAACACAAAACACTGTAAGACAACACAACCAGTGGCATCGAGAGGGGGGATCAGGGGGGGTCACTGCCTTGTGGCCCGGGTCTACTGGGGGTCCCAGACCAAGATGAAAAATTTTCGCGGTAAGAACAAAATCTCAATAGGGCCCGAGCCCAAGCCAGGATGAAAACTTTTGTTGTCTGATTTAGGAGGAGACTTAATTTGGGGAGCGGCCGAGTGGGGTCCCAAGTGAAGGGGGGGGGGGCATGCGAGGTGTTGCCCCGGGGCCCTTACTTGCTCTCGACGCCACTGAACACAACCACAAAAGCTAAATTACAATTATCTTTTTGTTCTTTTAAATAATAGTAATCCAAAATTATCTTGCGATAATCTTATATTTGTGTAAATTATTGCACAAGGAAACATTTACATATCTTTATGACGTCAACTCTTCATTAGGGAAAGTTTGATCATAATCTGCGTGATCGTAGTGGAAATACACCATTGATGGTTGCTTGTCTGTATGGCAAAATAGAGGCATTGAAATTCCTACTACAGACCAGTATACAGTTTCTTGAGGAGAATGCTCAAGATTTTGAAAGGTGAGTCAAAATCATAGATATACTAATACTAATGTAATGTCATTCGATTTATATAGCGCTTTATACCTGAGTCTCAAAGCACTCGAGGTGGGACTAGCTCGTACAGTAAGTTTCTTCTCTCAAGGGTCTCTTCGTGTCTGAGCCACCCGGTAAACCGGCACTAGCTGCATCTCGTTTGTCCACAGCAGGGACTGAATGGACAAATACACCGGGGTAATTACCCCCCTACACGTCTCGAAAGATGTACTGGGTTCTTTTAAGTGCACATGAGCCAAATTGTGTACACTGTGCCTACAGTTTATAGTCCTCATCCGACTTGTTCCACCACCAGAACCATAGGCAAGCGTGCCGTTTGAACCAACGCCAATGTTAGCTGTACGTTGTGGCGTCCTGCCTTAACTGCTCTGCCATCCTACTCACTTGAGTGTTCTAACTATAATGTATTTGATGTTTAAAATATGCAGAGTTGTGTGTGTGTACCATCCAAGATGGCTGTGGTAAATTCAGCCAGTCAATTCTTTATCATTATTTTCCAAGGTGCCCTCAATTTACACATGCAAGTTGAGTACAGCTAAGTTACCTGTATGTTGAAACTTGAGCGTTGCAGTGTACTGTATGTGTGTAACTTACACGATTTCAATTTTCACTTAATTCTCAGTACTTTATTTTTAAATCTGATTTCTCCACTTAGCCTATTTTTGGCTACGATAGTTTAATAATTTATAAATATCATTAATAATAATGGTTAATGAAATAATAGTTAGAGGGTTTATTTATAGTTATAATATGTATACTAAGCCTGAAGGTGGCACTTTCCTACAGGGGCCATCTTGGATGGTACAAATACACAACTGTGCATTGCTTTGTTGCCTAGTCAGCCCTCTAGTTGTTTAATAGTTCTATGGTCCAAATTTATACAAAAACACTGAACAGACAGCGCACTCTCTAGAAATTAATGTCATCAATTTGTTTGTAGATCTATCATTAAATTAAAACCATAACTGTTTTTATCGAGCTAATATACTTGGACAATAAAGTTTCAATAGACCCTTCCAGATGTCAATCAAACTTAACAACTGACTAATCAGAACAGCGCTAGGGATACACGCGCGTCTTACAAACGCACGTGTTGTCCCACAAACGCACGTGTTCGCGTATGTTTTAACACTGTCGTCTTGTGGGACCTTGGAAACAATATCCAAGGGGCGGGGCTTAGCGGAAATGTCCATTACTTTGCATTTAACGTAAAGCACTGTTCAGACTATCAAATTTGACTTTACAAAAACATGTGACATGCCTAAATATGGTCATGATGACATCACATCATGACCATATATAGGCACATGATGACTATATATAGGCATACAACTTTTTTGTCACAGAAAAATTTGATAATCTGGACAGATTTTTGTTAAAGAATTCAAACTATAAAATAATTTTCCTTTACAAAAGCCATCTGGTAGTTCAATCGCACATGAGCATGTCAAGTACTAACATTTTTTTTTTATCAGTGTTGCTTATAAGAATAGAGGAAGCTGGCGAGTCGAGGCCGAGTCGAGTCGAAGGCGAGTTGATTGGCCGAGCGGTTAAGTCAGGGGCACCGTGACCTTTAGCTCTAATATCGGCGTTGGTTCGAACGGCTCACTCGCCAATGGTTCCGGTGGTGGAACAAGTCTTCTCGGATAAGGACTTTAAACCGTAGGCCCAGTTTACGCATTTGGCTCGTGTGCACTTTAAAGAACCCGGTACATCATTCGAGAAGAGTAGGGGGTTACCCCGGTGTACTGGTCCATTAAGTCCCCTGTTGTTAAATGGATATGCCACGTAGGACAGTGATTAAGTTCACTTATTGGCATATCCTTGGCCCTCGTGCCTAAAGAAATGAAATGAAATGAAATGAAATGAGCAGCTCTCTGAGATGGGTATGTCTGCCTTATAAAATGATATTTAATATTATTATTTTAACATGGCTTTATCGAAATATTTATAATTTATATTTTACATGTATTCTAGATCTATGCGTGTAGATCATTTCTCAGACAGCGACTCTGGAACATTCGTTGACTGCACCCCCGGTGTTCCAGCACGTCGGTATTCTCAAGGTTGGTTGTAGGGATGTAGTTATAGTGGGCAAAGGTGGCCGGGGACTCCCAGCCTTGATGTTTTCCACCCAGTCTAAAGCTAATTCCATGGCCCTCCACTCCTTAGAATCGACACTTAATAATTAGAGTTTACTAATTATATCACCCACCCTTAAAATGTCTTCCACTCACCCTTAGATTTCTACTACAAACCTGGTTGGTAGAAGGTTTCTTATTGTTGATATACGTCTATCTCATTTTATGTTAAAATTTGATAATTATTCTTTTCACTTCATTTTTTTTCCTGTTTTACAATCAATATTTTTTACCCAATTATTTTAAAGCACATCTAAAGCTAATTTTACAGATCTTTACCCACCTTTATTAAGTCCTTGTCCATCCTTAGAATCCACTCTGTTAATAAGAGCAACAACTTCCTGATTAGTGGTTACTAATGTTACCAACCACCCCCCCCCCCCTTAAAGTGTCTTTCACCTACTCTTACTTTTCTACTACAAACCATGTTAGTAGAAGGTCTTTTATTATCACTATACGTCTATCTCATTTTATTTGAAAATTTGATAATTATCCTTTTCAATTTTTTTTGCTGTTTTTCAGCCAATTAATTCTATATAATGTTCCTTTATATTGATGTAGAAACATCAATATTCTTTTTAGAATGGACTTTTTTTTAGAAATTCACTAGCAGAATAATTGCTTTAGAATTATACTTACATGAACTTGAATTTAATCTGTAAGTTAAAATGTAGTCCAAGGTCACATTTGTAGACTTCTAGACTCATTCCTAGTCACATGTGTAGATTTGAATTCATCATATGTAGCACTTTTGTAATTTAAAAATTCGATTTGTTCTTCAAAAATATTACTTCGTCTACATAATAATAGAATGAGGATGTAGTAAAATATATTAAAAATGATAGATTCATTTATATTCATTTATATAAAAAAAAAGAAAAATAAGCAAAAAAAACTTTTCAGAAGTGTGTCACTAGAATATTGGTAAATATTCCATTCTCAATTCACTGTGATATTAAAAAGAAATAAAAATAAAATTGGATTCTTAACTGCACAATATAGGGATTGTCTTTCCAAGAGCAGCTATGAAAGTTGAGCTACACTGGCGGTGAAGTAGTAAACAACTGGGCATGCTATGCCATATACATTTTCTAAGATGGACCACACAAACAACGAACAAACAAACAACTTAGAATTTGCCCCTTCCCCTTTTTTTGCCACCACATGTTGCAATTTCAATACATACTAATGCCATGTATTGAAATAAGCAGTGGCGGATCCAGGAATTCAAAATTAAGGGGGCCCCGGCTGAGAGTTTAACAGATGATGAGGAGTCTTGACCACCTCATCCCCACCATGGTTGGGACTGAGGTAAGAAAATGTATGATTATGACACCTCTAGATGGCCGAAAATGGCACTCTCAGATCTAAATTTTATTATAATTTTCCATTTTTCTTCATTTTTTCATATTTTTTGGAAACATTTAAGGGGACCAGGCTCTCTTGTCCCTTTCCTTTGAATCTGCCACACTGATGATAAAATATACAATACAAATACCTGCCCATCCCTTTCTCCCACCTGTTTAAAAAATTCTGGATCTGCCCCTGACGCTCACTTGTTATTCTTTTTCTCTACAGACTACACTGGTGGAGAGACATCAAACACAGATTACAGTGATCAAGAAGCACTGGAGAATAACTTCTTCGAGCAAGGGCCACTCTTCACAAGCACACCGACTGTGTCTCACGAACACATGCGGGGAAGTTTCTATAATATATCCGGCCCCTTGTCAAATATCCATGAAGATGCACCCTCTACATATTCTTCCAGGAAGCTAACAAATCCTCGGAGGCAAAGGAGGAATAGGACTAGAGAGAAACCCTACATGTCTGACACAGAGGTTATAAGGGAACACCTGTTTGACAATGCACCGCCCTCTATTGATCCTTACTATGACAGATCAAGGCAATCACGTGGTGAGTGAGTCAACTAGAAATAAATGCTATGTCAATTTTATTTACCTCATGCTTAACAGTCTTATATAATAACAACATTTCAACGAACACAAATTTTAGATAAATCATTTACGAGTTTGATCTGTATGAAGTGAACTTACAGAATATTGTGTTACATAATTTTTTATTCAGTGGCATCATGCTAGGCCACTGATGGGAGGGTGGGGGGTGGAGTGCCAGGGCCCCCAGGTACTAGGGGCACCCGATATTGTAGTTTAAAAAAAATATAGTATATACTCTAATACCATAGTTTCATTCAATGGGGCCACGACAGTTTTAAACAATAAAAGCTGGGTTCTCATGTTTGACAGTTGTTTCTGATTTTGTGATCAATCTGCTTTGCATTGTAATACGTTGTTAAAACATGTTTTGATTCTCAATATAATTTTCACTGTATTTATTTTTGCCTACATAGAGTGCATAGACCTACTGTAGGCCTATACCAGTTCCGAAAGTTGGCCTATGTAATCTATGTTGGTTTTGTCATAAAATTGTCTGAAATATTTCATCAGACTCCGACCCGGTGGGGGGGGGGCTACGCAGCCTCCTGTCCCTAGCGTCTGTTTGCTCGCTCCACTTGCAAAGTTAACGCTCACTTGTTAGGGCCCCAATAACAGTCACTGGCAGGGCCCCACAAACTCTGTGATGCCACTGTTTTGATGAAACTATTGTCCTCTTCATAATTCAGGTTTGTGGAGAGGGATTTTTTTAAAAAGATATTTATGGTTTTGAAATGCTTGAATAGTTTCTTCACTATTAGTTTAAATTCTCTTTGTCAAATGTATGATATTCCTATGTTCAGTTAGCTACCCTGTTTGATGATTTAATTGTCAACATAATAAAAAATTAGGTCAATTTCTTAGAAACTTCTGTTTTCGCAGTGAGGCAGCTAACTTTAAGCCCACACATGTCACTCACAGGTTAATGTAGGGAGTTCACAAGGAGTTGGGTTCGCCTTTGTTTTTTTTAATTTATCAAGGATCTCCGAGATCCATCAGTGGTTCCAATTAAGAGATGTACCTGACAGTTTTCCTAATCCTTATTGGATGTACTTTGGTTAAATTTGTGTTTACTTTTAGGTTCTGCATATTACCCCTCACCTGGGTCGGTCCACTCAAGAGCAGCTTCTACATACAGCAGAAACTCCTATAGACAAGGTAGGCTTCAACCATGTTGATATTGAATTGATTTTTGACTAAGACGAGGGATATCATACTACTGTTTGTACTTGAGTTCAGATACAGAGTAGATTTTAACAAGACCGTAGATACTATTCAAAAGACAAACGTCCATTCCCATGCATGACCAATTGGAAACTTGTGCAGCTTTGAATATAGAGTAAAACATTTTGGCATAAGTATATGAAGAATATGATTATATAAAATATGCACAATACTGCAGCTCAGGAATATTTATCTGTATCACGCTGTTTGCATTGGACTTTACTGCTTAATCAAAACAACCTGGTTATTTGTTTCTAGATACCATTTGCTCAGGTAAACTTATCACTCGCTAATTTGACTTCATTGGGATAACCTTAATTTTTATTAATAATTTTAAACAATTACAAGAGATTAACCAATGTAATTGTAGTTATATCTTTCCTCACAGGTACTCCCGGACTTGGGCACCAAATGGGAACTAATGCTTCTTGCGGCTGGAGCGTAGCTGGAGCATTCAGAGCACCAGAACGTGGTAGCGTACGAGACTTGAATGATAACTTGAGTGAGGTATATTTTGGAATGACACAGAATGGACCCAGCATTTATCAAGGTATGAGTTCAGTAACAGCATTCATTTATTTGTTATTGTTTTGGGCATAATTTGGAAAATAGAATTCTTCAAAGTCATTATTTCCTTCCAAATTAATATGTTCTCGGGTCTGCTATGGTCAGTGAGTGAGCTTATTTGCTTGTTGCAGATAGGCCTAGCCCTATTATTGTGATGTGACAATGTAAACAGGTTTGCTTCTTACATGCAATTCGCAAAATAGACTGAACACTAATACAAATTAGTGATAGAAAAATTATGTGCATTGTAAAATAATGTAATGATTGACTTATATTATATAGTCTCGTCCCTCCAATTAAAGACCACTTTGTAGGACCGGAGTTTCCATGGTCTCTTGCAGCTTTGGTCTCTAATTAGAATAATAAAGATAAAAGACAATTGTTAATTTTGGAACACAGAAAAGTGGTCCTTAATTGGAAATGGTCTTTGACTTGAATGGTTTTTAATTAGAGGGAGACAGGGGTATTTATATATTAATATTCTTATTACCATTGTTATTTGGTATCGTTAATAGTTTTACAGGATGTGTGATAAGATGAGATACACTTTATTGCTCCAAGTCGGAAATAATATTATTATTCTGTTTTAATATTCAGTGATTTCTTTGATAACGCAGGAAGTATGGTGAACCACTTATGTGCAAGAAACCCGCAGGATGGTTCCACGTGTGTCCATCGTTCTGTCGAATGTGTCGACCAAAAACGTGGGCTGAAGGCTCTGGAGATGTTGCTTGACACTGACAAACTTGTGGTGAACATTCAAAACAGTGCCGGCCTGACGCCATTACACTTAGCTTGCCAGTTGGACAGGCGAAAAATTGTCAAGAAATTGCTGGTAAGGTCATTTCATAAATTTATGTACAAAGTTACCCACCGTTTCGCCGGACAGTCCCACATTTCAATTTTTTTTTTTTTTTATAAAACACACATTTGCAAATTACATGTGTAAAATCATGAATTTATGATGCATTCATTAAAATCCTTCTAGAATTAATTTTTGATAAAGAATTACCAAACACAAGGGTATCTTTTTTTAGTGCTCTGTATGTGACGGCTTTTATTCAAACTTCCTATTCTAAGAATGCACACCCAGCTCATGACTTCACCCATCCGTTAGCGCCGCACGCCAAAGTTCACTCGCAAACATTTTCATCACACATTTGAATTCTTCCAGTATAGTATAATAGTTATTTATGGTTTCTATATTATATTTAAATTAAGCAATTTTAAGAAATTTCTGTGGTTCATTATGTTTTCTTTTTACTTATAGTAATTTACCATTTGTTTAAAGGAATTATAAATGTTTATTTTGATTTTATTAATTTACATTTATAGAAACTGCGTTACGTGGACCTGAACCTAAGGACATTGGATGGAAGTTTGCCAGAGGATCTCACTAGTAGTCTGAAGGTACAGAAAATGATTTGCAGTACCAGAGAGCAACAGGAATTTCAGAGGTAATTCTAAATATTTTTATCACTATTGTCACTTCACTACAGGGCCTAGCACTACCACACTGCCTTATTCACTGCAGTGCCTCTGCACTGACCCTTGGGGCTAAAACCACCATTGCACAAGTACCAATATAGAGTGGGGCACATCTAGGAGGGAGTGGAGTGGGTGTTGTTTAGGTTGGTACCCCCTTAAGTGTAATTAAATAAAAGGAAATGTTTTTTACAGACGTATTTTTGGCACTTTCATTACTATAGTACTGATTTTCAAAGCGGTATCGTGATGAGAACTGAAACATATATACAGTGTTATAATCAATGTATCCTGGAAATTTAAAAAAACCCCTAAATTATTTTCAGCCAAGAGATTAACACCTTTTTTGTGGATTCTAATTATATTTGTTGTTCTGCAAATGTTTGTAATAATTACTAGATAGTAATGTAAATACTGGCTGACTTGCAGCATCATGTGCTGGGCCAGATGTAGGTAAATATTCAAACAAAAGATTGTAAACACATTGTGAGTAAGTGATGTACATATGTATTGGTGTTTGTTCTTCAAGTCAGGCTCGGGAACATTAAGTTCTCATCGTGTGCATTCTAGAACGCAATTTGGCTAAATCTACGTATGCAGAGAACGCAAGACGCTTGGTAGGAGGGTCACGCATGAGTGATTCCATTCTGGCGTTGCGTCGTCGAAAAAATCGAAAGCTCCCTAATGATGATATTGCTAATTGGAACAAAAAAATCCTATGGAATTATTTTACTTTTTCACAAATTATATTGTTTATTTTATTTTCAGGTCTACATCAACTATAACAGGGGGTATAATGTCACCCCCAAAGGCGGCAAGCACCATTGCACCCTCGAGTGTGGATTTTGATAAGTTACAAGACCTCTATGAAAAACATAAAAATAGAAGTTTCCATGATTAAATGATAATGTGTTGCTGTCAGCCCTGGATGTACTGATTATCTATAATAAATGTGGTGAAGACAAGCCAAACCAGTCACTCCTCACAAATCGTATAGTGGAGATAATGGCCAAAACATGTTGGAATGTAAACATTTTTAAAATCTATTGCAATAAACTACCTTTATATATCTAATACATCATGCTATGCTGTTAGTTTCCCCATTTTCTATGATAAAACAAATTTTTTAAACAATTTGGTGATGGTTTCTGCCAGAGAAATGGCCGAAATCGTTTTGCTAGTAGTGACTGGTTCAACTGGTTGTTTTATGAAAACATTTTAATTGTATGAATAATTTGAGAAACAAGCATTATTTGATGTCTAAGTCATGCTCCATTAACTTCAAAATCAGCCTTCTAAGAATTCTAATTAATTCAGGGCTATTTTTAGACATACTTAACAAATGGCTGTTAACAACTACCTCATAAATATTCAGACTTTTTCTGCAATAGGAAGTAATGCATTGGGTTATTAATTACTTCCCAATTTTATAGAGACGATGATAGCATTTTGTACATCTAATTAACCTGTTTAATGTTTATTACCTTTAAAAAAATATTGAAGATATATTTTGCTTTGTCATGACAATGCTGTACAATATCACAGATATTTAGAAGGCATGTGGGTGGATGGATTTATTTGGTGTAACCCACAAATGTCTGAAGATGACTAATTTCCAGTAGGGTGCTTCTGGTGTTGAGTGGGCAGTGCACCAGGAGGCAATCCCTACTCTTTTTCCGAATAGTGTACTGCGTTCTTTAACATGCACATGGGCCATATTGTACACGGGACCAGTGGCTTAAACGTCTCATCCGAAAGACAGTGCACTATTGTAACTTGCATTTCAGCCCTCCAGCTGAAACACAAGGAGAGGCAGCAATGGGAATTGAACCAGGGACCAAGAGACCTCCGTGGTGCAGTGACATAATGGGAATAGATAACTATATTGAATTGAATTGTTTTTCTTGTTAGGCCCTTTTAGTGTGTCAATTTTTTAATTGTAAATTTGATGTAATTCAGCTACTTATTCAGCTGCCAATCAAATATTGAATAAGTTGAAATTGAAATAGATGTACATAAAATATATTGTAAATTTGTGCAGAAAATGTATAGGATTTTAAATAATGATAGAATATTATTTGTGGCAATTACTCTTATAATTGGCAAAGTTTCTACTGTCTGACTGTTTATATATATTTACTCTAGTTTCAATTGATATAATATAAAACAGACAATATGTATATGTTGTTGATGATTAATTGTAAAAAAATACTTAATTTTAATAATACTTAATGTTGAATAACATATTAATATAGGGAAAATGCTGAAAATTCTGCAATTTTTGAGAAAATTTATATCTGTGTCTGCTTTTTCCACCTTCTTGCTTAGTTTCTCAAGCAATCTAAACTCTTGCTTTTTGACCAAAATGGCTTGTGTAAAGTCATGTCAAAGCAAACACACAGTATAAATTAAAAATCAAAGAATCCCTCCATATTAAATGGAAGAATCTTGAGCTTAACAAACAAGTTCAAAGTTACGATATTACATGCATTTGAATTAGAATAACGTAACTTTAACATGCAAACAAACAAGTTATGACACTACTGTGTATTCAAACACCTATTTAGAATGAATTAACTTTAAAATGTATAGGATATATAAGCAAAGGTATATAAATCTCAGGATATTTCTATTCGGTTTTTTGTTACGTTGAAGATGTCGTAGTAAATACGAAGAAACATGTCTGTTTCTATTTAAGTATTTTTGTTGCTCTTAAATTCGTCTATATACTACTTTCTGTTCGAAAGTTTGGCTGTATTATACATGACTTTACACAGACCAGTACGGTCACATAGCAAGACTTTAGATTGCTTGAGAAACTCAGCAAGAAGGTGGAAAAAGCGACACAGATATGAATTTTCTCAAAAATAATATTTTATATTTATAATTGTTTTAACATAGTTTATATTGAAGGTTATATATATTTATAATTTTCTGTAAAAGATTGTTTTTATGTCATGGTAATAGAGTATTTAGACATGTCTTTCAGTGTATGATTTTATCTATCTTTAAAAGTGTATAAACCTGGAAAATGTACTTATTTTAATGATTATAAAATAGGCTTACATAATGGTCATGCCATCCTGGTTATTTTTATACATGGAATTGTCAATTACAAATTTCCTTCCCTTCTTTTGTTTTGGAAATTTTTTTCCACAATTATGTATTGTTTCTGATCCCAAATTGTAAATTCATAATTTTATTACTATTATTTTAATTAGTTTTAATTCATTTCTAAAATTTCTCAGTGCCAGTTCTTAGCTTTAATAAAGGCTATAACAATGAGGTGATTAATTATATACTATTATTGTAATATTATATCCTGTCTCTTATACACATCTAGATGTGTATAAGAGACAGGCCTTATTCACTGCAGTGCCCCGAAACTCGCGAGAGTCCAAAATTCATGACGGTCTCCCGCGCACTTCCACAAGCAAGCAAGAATCTCCTGAAATTAACCCATCTCAACAAATTCATAATTGTGCATGTCAGGGGCGGATTTAGGGGGGGGGGGGTCCGGCCCGGCCCTGGCCCCCCTAAATCCGCCCCTGACACACGCCTCAAATGTTATTTTCGAGCGTCTAGAACACAAAAATTTCGCGGGGGCATGCCCCCGGAACCGCTAGGACATTTTTGTCTCGATCGGCCCAAATTTCGGCCCCCCTTTCGGCCCCCCCCCTTTTGGACATCTCTGGATCCGCCCCTGCATGTTTTCAATGTTTTATTATTAATTCCTCGGATGTCAGTGCTGATGCATATCACTATGCGCAGCAAAATAAAATTAAATGTGTTAAGAAAGCTCATCAACCAGGTCAGTGGCGGATTAAATTTGGAGGGGCGTGTGACAGCCGAACCGGGCCTCTAAAATATTTCGAAATTATAAAAAAAAAAGGGGTAGACAAGAACTTTATATTAAAGTTTAAGTCTGAGAGGGTCTTTCCCGGCCATCTAATTTTCTTACCTCTGCTCCAAACAGAGGTAGGCTAAGCCATACCTTCCCCCCATCTTTGAAAGTCGTTCCCAGTCTCCCCCACACCCCAATGGCACACCCTTCGACCCGCAAGATCTCCCGCCCAGAAATGACTTCTTCCTACTTGGGACCCCAGCCCTACAATTTCCTTTTGGCCATTATAGTACCACGCATTTTATTACCGCATAATGTCATGTTATTGCGTGGTGTGGTAGGCCTTTGACTCATCGTTTTTATGTTTTTGTAGGTAACGGAGAAATAGATTTTCAGGAGTTCTTGACACTGATGACAAATACGGAGAAGTTTCTGGAAATGTTCGGTAAGAATACTATAATTTGGTTAGTACAAAAAGGTTGGGTTCAGTCCATAGGCTGTCTCTTATACACATCTAGATGTGTATAAGAGACAGGCTTAAGATCCTTAATTCAAACTTCCCATAACCGACGATAAAATTTTGCATTCCACTTTAGAAATGTGCAAATATTGGTATTACTTGTTGTAGTGGCAACTGATTACTAGGTAACCACTCTACACTTTGCTACGCAACATCTTTAGAACGACGCGTGCCCGAGAACTGCGTTGCCATGACGAATTCAATGCCCCTTCGTTACGACGCGCTTTTTACGCACAATGCCCAACTAGCAACGTAATTTTGTACGATTGTTCTCTTCAATCTTTTCTGCCGTCGGTTGTACATACATTAAGCGCTGAACTAGGATCGCTCTATTTAGTGTCACGATGTATCGACTTTAAAACACATTTCTCTAAAATACCAATGTCAACCGACAGCCGGAGAGGTGCAGTGTTCCTTCATGCCAACCAAATCGAGAAGACAAGAATGAACAATACAAAAGGGGGATCTGTTGGGAAAAAACCTGTTCGCCAAAAGTCCTTTGATAATAGCAGAGTTAACGGTAAATTCACTCCGTCAACAAAGGAAACTCAGGTTTGCAAACTTCCTATGTTTCATTAAAAAATAAGTTCATGATATAAACTTGATGATGATGATGATGATGATGATGATGATGATGATGATGATGATGATGATGATTATTAGAATTATAACATTACTAATGCAATTCAATTACACTTTTCTTAAGCACAATTCTATCATTAACGTCATTAGTCATCTTCATTAGAATCTTTCGATTCTTTTCAGGAACGTAAAGCATCGGTTTCCCATATTAATAAGCAATACAGTGTTGATAATGCACGGCGATTAATTCCTCAAGTTGCTGAGAGACGAGCTAAGACCACCGTTCCCGTACAAGAAGAAAATGATGCATTATCCAGCTTACCGCTCCAATCATCTGTTACTAGGGTAGACTTGTAGTCGACATTGACATTTTCATTTCAATAATCATATCATTCAAAGTAAAGCGTGAAGTAAATTAGTTCTGAAGTAGGCTATAATACGGTTCAAAATACAAATACATTTTACTTTAGTCATGCTGCGCACTGCTGAGCCTTACTTCATAGGAAAATATTTATTTGTTTACAATTATCACCATCACCATTACCAGTATTATTATCGGAGTCATTGTCATTGTCATTATCATATTCATCAACTTCATCGTTGTTGTAGACGTCATCATCATCAAGATCATCATAATCATCATCTCATAAGCGTAATCATTTCATTCATTTATAGGCACTACCACCATCCTAGTCATTAGCTTCATCATCATAACCATTGTCGCAATGTCACCGTCACCATCACTTGTATTGTTTTCAAAAAATTATTAACAATTCCTCTCTTGCTTTTCCTGATCCTAGGCCAATCGGCGGCGAACCAGCATCAGTATTCGTAAAGGAAGTACCGTTGGTCAAGACTACAACAGAGGACGTCGCTTAAGCACCGCCCGAAAGTGTGTTACTCCTTTGGGAACATCGTTGGCCTCACAAGAACGGCGACGAAGCAGTTTACAGCATCAACCAGCCCCTAAGAAGAAAGCAGAAGATCCCTCCCTTACTTGCAAGCAAATTGAAGGTTAGAGGAAGAGGGAAAGAGTGTCGCTCGAGTTATACTGGAAATAGCACTGTAGCATTAATGGTCGGAGGATCATAATAAATAGGCCTATGGGTAGATGGGGGAAGAGATGAGAGTGATTGGTATCGTAAGATAAAGAACATCAAAAGAACATCAGTTAAATTAATTGAATGGAAAGATATATAATTAAGTGAGGCTTAGGATTTGAGGGTTTGTATGGTTTGTTGGTAAACAGAGGGAATTACATCACCCGAAGAAATATTGAATTATGTTATTTATCTTTTGTTGGAGTCTAACCCACTTTTTGTTGATGTAGAAGTTCATAGCTGTGGAATTGTGAGAAAATGAACCACCTAAAGCATTGTTCCTTTATTCTTCAATTATGTATTTTTTATTTAAAAAAAAATGTTTCATCGCTTATCATTATAACAACCACCACCACCACCACAACATCATCATCTGCGTCATCATCCTCATTATCATCATCATCATCGTCATCATCATCTTTGTCATTATCTTTATTATCACCATCTTCAACAATAATCTTTATTATTTTATAGTTATAAAATTTGTTATCAATGTAACTAAATTCATCTACAGCGTTCCGGGAAGTGTTTGATTTATTCGACACCAATGGTGGAGGTTCGATTGATGCGGATGAATTACAGGCAGCACTGGCCTCGGTGGAAATTCATATCAGTCATAAAGAAATTGAAGACGTCCTATCCCAGATCGATGATGATGGTAGGCCTACGTTAACCTGTAAACTTTATTAAGCAAGTAATGAATATGTATTAGAAATTTCGTCTGTTGATTAATTTAGATATACGTCTAAGTAATAACTAATAATATAATTTCATTTAACGTAATAAGTTTGGTCTTATATCAGTGCCCATTTGCCTTTTATTGTATGTTTTCCAGATTTCTTGTGCTGTTTTCATATTTCATGTTTGTAAATTACGGGAGACCCAAGTCTCCCGAAACTCGCGAGAGTCCAAAATTCATGACGGTCTCCCGCGCACTTCCACAAGCAAGCAAGAATCTCCTGAAATTAACCCATCTCAACAAATTCATAATTGTGCATGTCAGGGGCGGATTTAGGGGGGGTCCGGCCCGGCCCTGGCCCCCCTAAATCCGCCCCTGACACACGCCTCAAATGTTATTTTCGAGCGTCTAGAACACAAAAATTTCGCGGGGGCATGCCCCCGGAACCGCTAGGACATTTTTGTCTCGATCGGCCCAAATTTCGGCCCCCCTTTCGGCCCCCCCCCTTTTGGACATCTCTGGATCCGCCCCTGCATGTTTTCAATGTTTTATTATTAATTCCTCGGATGTCAGTGCTGATGCATATCACTGTGCGCAGCAAAATAAAATTAAATGTGTTAAGAAAGCTCATCAACCAGGTCAGTGGCGGATTAAATTTGGAGGGGCGTGTGACAGCCGAACCGGGCCTCTAAAATATTTCGAAATTATAAAAAAAAAAGGGGTAGACAAGAACTTTATATTAAAGTTTAAGTCTGAGAGGGTCTTTCCCGGCCATCTAATTTTCTTACCTCTGCTCCAAACAGAGGTAGGCTAAGCTAGACCGTCCCCCCATCTTTGAAAGTCGTTCCCAGTCTCCCCCACACCCCAATGGCACACCCTTCGACCCGCAAGATCTCCCGCCCAGAAATGACTTCTTCCTACTTGGGACCCCAGCCCTACAATTTCCTTTTGGCCATTATAGTACCACGCATTTTATTACCGCATAATGTCATGTTATTGCGTGGTGTGGTAGGCCTTTGACTCATCGTTTTTATGTTTTTGTAGGTAACGGAGAAATAGATTTTCAGGAGTTCTTGACACTGATGACAAATACGGAGAAGTTTCTGGAAATGTTCGGTAAGAATACTATAATTTGGTTAGTACAAAAAGGTTGGGTTCAGTCCATAGGCGTGCATTAGTTTGGTGTTTTTGGCGTTAGTTGGTTTATTGATGGTTAATTGTAATAATGATATTTGATTATTAGTTTAGTGTGAGAAGGGCAAGGAATTAGTGTGTACGACGTCATGGGGATGTGTTGCAGAATTATATTGGTGTTCAGTTTTGGATCATAGCGACCAATCAATTGTGGTATCCAACGAGCAAAGTTGCATCGACGAGATTGCAATACTAACGTTTAAAAGAAGCTGATTATTCTATAGATAATTGCGTCTGACTATGTAATCAGTTGACGTTATTATAAGTTGTAGCCTACTTATTAACACACTATATATTAAGTAAACGATTCATAAAATACTGTCACAAATGATTGCGAGAAAAGGTGTTCCTGATAATGATGTGAGTAAATTCAAAACAAACTAAAGGCTACGCATGCGTGCTTGATAATTCGTATTGTTTCCATTTAAAGCTTCGCAGCATGAGCAGCTACCGGTGGAAGACTCCGGTCGTGAGCACGTTCTCTTCGACGCCCTCACACAATTTATGAAAAAGTCCGCCCTCAAACAGATGGACGAACTTGTGGGGTAATAATTATATTTTTATTATTATTATTATTATTATTATTATTATTATTATTATTATTATTATTATTATTATTATTATTATTATTATTATTATTATTATTATTATTATTATTATTATTATTATCATCATCATCATCATCCTCATCATCATAATTAATATTATTATTATTATTATTATTATTATTATTATTTATCAATAATATTATCATTATATTTCTACAGCTACTTTCATAAAAAATACAAGAAAATGAATGCTCCTCATGTTGTGAGCCACTAAAAACCCATAAAACAGTAAACGGCCATATAATGCAAAACAATTTAAAATTAAAACGGAACAGTAGAGAAAATCCGATCAGAATGACAAAATAAACTAAGCATCCACTGGAAGTAATCCCAAAATAAACTAAATATCCACTGCAATTCTTTCCAGTGGATACTTAGTTTATTTTTGTATAATTATTATTGTTTTTGTTGTTATTTCATTAGTATTATTACTTTTGCTATATATATGCTTAATTATAATGATGACGGTTTATTATGATGATTTGTACTGTAGGCCCAATATTAATAATTATTATTATGAATATTGTTTTAATATTTATTATTTTCCTGTATCATTCATGCCACCACAAATCGTTAAAAATAAACTGCATTAAACTTGTCCTTAGTTGGTTAATTTAACTAGCATAACAATAGATCGATATAGTATAAACGAAACCATGGCTTTTACCTATGGTTTGACGCAATATGCTTGTTGTATCGATACTTGTGTATTGTGCTCTATGGTGGCTTAATACACCTCACAAGAAATAGCACACGGCTTTATTTATGTTAACAATACAAATGCAAAGCAATAAACTTTGTTGATGGCAACAATATAACGTTAATGGCTAATTAAAGAAAAGTACTTATCGCACAGTACTGTTATATGTTTATATAATGTATAAATACAGTAATTATATATATGATTATAAAAAAAAGTACTACCTTATATTAAACTCTATGTTAGACGTACACAAAATAATAACACTAATATGAAAATATGAATAATAATAAAAATAGTAAGTATAATATAACAATACAATTTAAGGAAATAAAACGCTAAACAGCTTTGCGGTAATGCTCCATGTATGCATTTTATAGGGCAGTGGATATGTTGTCGGTAAAAACCTACTTGTTTACAAAGCGTCATTCTAAATATAACCAAGGGCGCACTTTTTGAGTTATAGCGGAAAAATATACATATATGTATATGTATGTTTTTTTCATAGACAATAACTATCATAGCCCCTATGCCGAGCCCCTACATATCTTTCACTCGGTCAAAACCACCCGGCACCCAGTCACAAAGAAGGCAAAACCCATTGATACTGAGATACCTGCTAGGACCGGTAAGATTCGACTGATTATCAACAGACATCGATCGCCGCCCAAGGAAGAAGATGAGCAGGAAGACGAAAAGACAGTCACCGAGTCTACAGTAAGATACACAGAATATGATGAATTAAAATAAAGAACTTGAAATTACGAACAAAATGATGTTATGATTGTATCATAGCCACGAAAAGTTTATTTATCAGTTGTACAAATAAGTACACATACAAAGGGCTACGTAATTTATTAGACATTTTTTAGACAAGAAATTCAGAAATCAAAAGAAATAATTAATTACATATCTAATAATAATTAGTTATATAATACATGATTACACATACCCATAATATATGGTATTATGTTTAATTATAATAATCGATATTATACAAGAATGCATGTCAGTTAGTTATATATAATTTAGGCGTTGTATGTTCATTTCCCTGCACGTGGTTTAATGAGCATTTACTAAATTGGGTGTTATTAATAAACTTGTAAACAACACCTTCAAAACAACTATTCATTGTATAAATATCGACGAAGTAAGGGTCAGATAATGTGAAGCCCACGGTTATTGAGTTCATAGATGTCATACCCTTTAATGACGTCACGATATTACGTCACGATATTAAGATGTTACCCATGCTCGCGCATTGACAACCTGAAAAGATTCTAGTGTCAATAAACTATTGACACTTTTATAATTAAAAAAATGGTAGTACTCTCTATAGAATCTGGCTTTTAATGTGTATATTTTGAAAGAAGGAAGGCGACATCTTAGAAATAACCGATTAATTTTAGGCCTATTCAACCTGGATGAATAAAAAAAAAAACCACAAAAATACACAAACAAGAACTCCTTCATAAAAAATGGAAATCACGACACTATTATTGCCCACAAACTGTAAATACTGCACTTTTTTTTTAACAGTGAAACACTTCATTATTTAGAAGGTGCATTTAAAAAAACACAAAATTATCAAAACCTATAATACTAAGCAACAGACGTGAATATAAAAGGCAACGTAGAAAAAACAACCACACTAGTGATAAGGAATAAAATATAAAATAAAATAAATAAATGAATATAAAGAATAATTAAATTCATTAAAAAAAACCCATCAAACGTACGAATTTACCTATTTTTTTTGTTTATATCCTGTATGGTATTTTTCAACTAATAGTCGCTATTTTTGTGTTGTATAATCACTTTTTTTAAATTGATAATTTTTAATTGTCGTGTTTCTACTGGCCAAAAATAATCGATTATTTTTAAAAAAAAAGCGTTATTATTCGATTATTTCTTGCCAGCAGAAACAGGCTCTTAACCAGATCCTTACCTCTCCAAATGGTAATTGGGCTCTGGGAATGTATTAAAAATGTAACGACTATCTCTTTAGATTAAAGAACATATGAAAGTTTTTATTTTACCTTGATTAAGAGTTTTAACAAAATTGTATTTTTAGCTCTTTTTAAAGAAAAGTCCTGGATCCACTATGTTACCTTATTTCTATTTACATCATTACCTAATAGTGTAATATTTTCCAAACAAGAAACATCGGCCCTTGCAGAGGCATGGTTTATTTGTTTAACGCAACAAATCTGATTAAATAATAAGTTTATTTAATATGCTTTCCGTTGTGACTATCCAAAGTTCCCCCAGCCTGACCTACATTGACTCCACTATGTGAGGACAAATATCAGTATTGTGATTGGCGGGTATGAGTACACTTTTTCTCGCACTTTTCCCAACTGCCCGCGCGCGGAAAAAGCCAGATCGCGGTGCCCGCGATCATGATTTTAGATAAAGCTTGGCATTGCTAACGCGCTGTGATGCCACAGAGGGTTCCCCGTTTTCAACTAAGGACACTGTAATAAGTATCTAAATTCGTGAAACAGTAAGCACAAAGCAGTTAGCCCGCGGTTGCTACGGCATGCAAAAAAGTCAAGAGAATCTTGCCAACGGCAGAACGGGCTAACTATGTCGTCGTTCATCGCCCGCAGTTTGGCGGTTCGGTACTGTATTTTGAACTCTCGTCAACAGCATTCTAAGTTTTCGGTTCTGTTTCTTCTGCTGCAATGTAGTGTTCCACAGACTTCAGTTTTGGCCCACTCCCATCGCGTAAATTTTTTGTTGTCATATCTTTATCCATATTTACGCCGACGATATTCAGCTATATTTTTCTTTTGATCATATCCCTTCTCTGTCAGTCTAGTAACTACCTGCATACATCATCATCACAATTACTTTTTCTATAACCTTTTAAAGAAAATTTGTATTCTACAGTAAAGGATAATGGAATGTTTATCTTATAAAACTTACTTTGTTTGGTTTTTAGCATTCCAATACGAACTTGGAGAAACTTGATCATCGTAAGATATCGGCAGCCGGTGAGTTGTTCACGCCGCGTCTAGGCTGGGTGATCCCACGAGCAAAAAGTATCGCCGAACGTCTCAAATTTATTAAAAAGAAAAAGGCTGTCCTAACTACAGAAGATTTGCCAAATATACGAAAAAGGGTAAGGTGATAAGTTTGAAAAAAGATCAGTTAATGTTTAGCGACCCTTAAATACATGAAATAGCATGATGCTCTACAATACAGTATCTAGTAATACTAACGATACCTACTATTAGTACTCCTGCTACTACTTTTGCTGCTGTCACAATTTTGTCGCTACTGATGTTGCTGATGCTGTCGTTGTTGCTAAAATGTCGCTCCTATTATATCTGCTGCAGTTGCCGTTGCTGCTGTCGGTTCCAGCAGATGTTGCTGTTCAGCTGCCGCAGCCGATTTTGCTCCTGCTGATGCTGCTACCTACACTGGAGCTACTGCCAGTTGTTGCTGTCACTGGTGCTACTAGCTATTGCTACTACTACTACTGTTGCTGTCACTTTCGTTTCTGTTGCTACTGCTGCTGTTGCTGTTCATGCTCTAGTAGCTGTTTCTGCTCAGCTGCCGCAGCAGATGTTGCTCCTACCGATGCTGCCACCTCCACCGCTACTGCTGCCGCTTGCCGCCATTGGTTGCTGTCGCTGCTGCTGCTGTTGCTGCTGCCGTCGCTTCTGCTTGTTTTCCAGCTGACGTTGCTGATGTTACTGCTACTGATTCTACCGCTTCACCATAGCTGCTGTTCTGTTGATAAATGGTGATGGTAATAATGACAGTGATGATTATGATGAGAATGATAACATTGACGACGATACCATAAGGCCTATATAGATATAGGTCACTATGAACTATGAAATATTTTACGTCCATGGTCATTATAGCTTAGGCATAAACGCTAATGCCAGGTCAAGATTAATACTGCCCAACAGGGGCGGCGCTAGCAGGGGCGGGCCAGAGGAGCAAAAGACCCCCTGCTTGGACCCCACTGACGAGGAATTTCCAGCAGGTTGTCGGGGAAAAAATCAAATCTCGAGCGCCGAACGTACAATTCAAGCATTCCCTAATAAGCTGTCAAATTTTAAGGATTAAAAACTGTTTAGTGCAAGGAGTGCTACCGTATGTGCTGTAGGTGTTGTATATTATTACGGTCATATGTGTTGCAATGGTGCGCCAACTCTTCCACGACAGTGGGCTGGTACCTCCGACAGGGGATTAGTATCCCCGACAGGGGGACTGTACCCACGACATTCTTTTTATATATTTAACACAAAATTGTATTATTTTTTAATAAAAAAAATTTCCCGACAAATTTACTTTTTCCCCTCAGAGGAGAGGAATAGGGATAGGCTCCCCGACGGGGTGGTGGGTGGGAGGGGGAGAGGGAGAGAGTGGATCTCCTTGTCTGGGAGTTTGGACCCCCTCGTCGGGGAATTCCTGGCGCCGTCCCTGCTGCCAAACAAGAACGACGTGGTACAGACTGAAGCTCACGCCGTCATTTCCTCTAGGGAGGTTCAGAAATAGCCACATATTCTACCCTTGACCTCCGCGTCAAGGGTAGACTATTCTGACTTGCTTATTATTCGCCTGTAATTCGATTTGGTTGTAGCGATCGTATAGCTGTAAGTACTACTTCGAGCTACTACAAAAATCGATATCATTAATACAAACATGTAATGGTTTTCGGTTGCCTTGGTTACCTATGCGTTATGCTTGGGAAACAAAAACAGGGTACCATTTGGAAATTGTGTTGTGTTTAGAGCAGCAACTGTATTTATTAAAAGGTTGCATTGAAGTATAATCTATAAATTGTATGCAATTCTTTACTTCCTGTTTTTGATGTTGTTTATTTTATCAAGGAATAGTATTTTTACAACTAATTAAGGTGCAATAAATACACGACAATATTTGGACTAGAATATTTCTATCTTGTATTCGAAAACCATGCAAATTGATTTTAAAGGTTTATACTGGAATAGCTTTTAGGTAGTATGCTTGTTTCACAATCACAGGGTCTTGTGTTCGAATCATGTGACACTCTCTAAGCATTTAGAGAATCGTTCCATCATGTATTTGGTGTGTGTGTGCGAATGGGAGAGTGGGGGTGGGTGGATAAATAAAATGAATGAAAGGATGGGCTGATGTACGGATGGGTGGATGGATGGATGAGGTGAGTCGAGTGACTAAGTGTTAAGTCAGGGGCGTCGCTCATGGACCTTTCCTCTAAGCCCCGCCCCTTGGATATTGTTGCTAAGTCCCACAAAATGACAGTCTAAAAACATGCGCAAAACGTGCATTTGTGACAGTGGTGGCGCCAGAGAAGGGAGGACTGAGGGGCTATAGCCCCCTCCGCCGGGGAAGACGAGTAAATTTTAATTTGTTAATAAACAAAAAAAAAAAATGATTTACATGTAATGTTCGTTTAGCCACCATATTGTTTTCATTGAACTATTTGTGTTAACTTTTCATCACAATAATAATAATAATAATAATAATAATAATAATAATAATAATAATAATAGGCCTAGTTCAATGAGACTAATTAAAAATGATTTGTGTTCTGTTATGACAAAATGCTCGTTTGAATAGTCTCATGATGCTTGGAATACATCGTAATAGGGGAAGCAACCTCGACCTTGACAACGTGGTTGACAGATTTCATGCAACATTTCCAAATGTAGAATTTCACTTTGAAGAATGAGGATTTGAAAATAAATTAGATGGTTACATTGCATACTCTTTGTTTTTTTGTTTTATTCAAAATATTTCTGTTTTGGAAGCTGATTTCGACATTAGAAAACAATCATGAGTAGCTCGATGCCTATCAAATAAGTAATGAAAATTCGCCATAATTCGTAAAATATCCGTGGCTTCCAGGAGGTGAAGCCCCCTGGACCCCCACCGGACGGCCCCTGGCCCCAGCCAAGTCACGCTCGCTTCGCGCCTAGCCCCCCCCCCCGTCGAGGCCTTTAGCTGGCGCCATCACTTATTTGTGAGACAACACGTGTGTTTGTGAGACGCGCACGTATTTGTGGTTCTGATCTGATTGGTCAGTCGTTAAGTATGATTGACACTCCTAAAATGTCCATTACGACTAGCATCGGTTGGAGCAGCCTCTTCCCAGGATTCTGTTGATAGAGCCGAATCTTCTCGGATACAGACTTAAAATGGAAGGACTAGTAGTACACATCCTGCTCATCTGCATTTTAAAGAACCCATTGTAGTCTGGCCCTTGTCGATGTTGAACATACATTTTCTATGCGCCTTTATACAATTGCTACAGTATCCACTAGTCACGCCCATACTCAATTCAACACAAGGACGCTCTGAGTTATGGGTTATTCTCCTACTGTAACTTTCTTTACCTTTTCACATTTACATTTACCATAAATAATTGAATGGAGGAATGTATATTAATGAATGAATGGATGGATGGATTAATGAATACATGGGTAGCATGGGTGGGGAAAACAGATGGATGTTGAAAATGAAGTGGATGTGTGGGTTTCATTTTCACATTCAACAGCTTGTAAATTAATGCACATATTAGAGTGTACCCAGTATAGATCTCTGACCGTCTTGTCCATACGGAATTAGTGCTTTGTCAATATTGCGATGTCAGACACTTTGAAATATATGAAAAAAATTAATCACTACTGCATTACTCAGAATAGCTCCAATAAAATATTGTTGTTGTAGTTGTTGTGGTTGTTTTTGTTATAGGCCTATACTTATTATGCAGTAATATCTGTGTGCAGCCGTATTAATACTATTTACTATGATTATTGAATTACTTTTTCAGATTCGCGATGCTACAAAAGCTTACAATAAAGAAATGACTGAAATGAAAGCACATGAGGCCGTCAAACACTGGCGTAAATTAGAACCGCACCACATCCCTTCTAAACTACTGCAGACGCATTTCCAGAAGGTGTTCTGTGCATATTCATCCGCTGTTCAATACAGTTACACATGCCAACCGAAGGAAATTCCATACAAGAAAGTATAACAAATATACTTCGACGATATGAGTGCTAATGAATCGGTACTACTTAATGTGTTAATTAATGTTCTAATTAATGTAATAATTAATGAATATACTGTAGAGCTCCTATACAGTGATATATCTATTTAGATATGATTTAAATTAACTGTATCGTAATATAGTGTAAAACTATAAAGAAGAAAAAAATTAAAATTGTTTCGCTGATGTTTGTGTTTTCATGCTTTTGAATCTACAGTAAACGCAAAACTATATGCTGCTACATACTACAAAATTACTAGACCACACTCCGACAGTGTATATTTCCGCCCACATCATAATCCTCCCCGTTTAAAATTCCCACGCATGTTTTGCTTTAAAAAAAAAAATTAATGAAAAGAGAACGTCCACCAGAATTCAAACCCGGGACTTGTTGATTACAAAGCGAGCGTCATAACCAATTAGACAACGAGTGCGTTTTAAGTCACATGTTTTTACATTTACGTAGGTAGGGTACAACCTGCAAAGAACCTAATGGTCCGTATAAGCGCAGGGTAACAGGGGCTGTATGGACTAGTACACCGGAGTAACCCCCCTATTCGTATCGAAAGATGTACTTAGTTCTTTAAGAGCCAATTGTGTACACTGGGCCTACGGTTTATAGTCCTTATCTGAGAAGACTTGTTCACCACCAGAACCACAGGCGGGCTTGTCGTTCGATCCAGCGCCGATATTATGGCTGCAGGTCGCGGTGACCCTGCCCTAATCACTGGGCCATTCGACTTGATAGCCACAATCTTCAGTAGTCAAAAAAAAAAAAAAAAAAACCGGCGTTGTTTGTTTTTCACAAACCATGGTTTTTGTCTTTTACAAACCATGGTTTGTCTTTTACAAACAAAAGTTTACAAACCGTGGTTTAAAAGAAAAAAAAATGGACAAAATAATCATAGTTTGTCTTATTATCGAAGACAAAACAAGGTTTTTACAAAATCTTTACAAAATCATAGTTTGACCAAATCCGGCTTTGGCCGGGCCACTTTTTCTCATATTCCTATTACTTTAACAAATATACCTCAGAGCCCCATCCATGCAGAGCATGGGTATAGTATCTAGATGCCCGCTAACTTCAAATCACGGAGGAGTGGCAATGGCTCTATAGGTTGCCCGATGCTATTTCCAGGCATCTAGGGTTGTAATGTTTTATTATCTTTTGCCACAATATTCAAGGGTTGGGGCTTAGCGGAATGGTTCATCTTTGTTGGGATGATTGGGGAAGGGGTGGGTTTAGTAGTCAGTATTCTTTTAACTAGTCATTTGTAAACATAACATCTACATTGAAATAGCATTGTAAGGGTTGGCTAAAATGTAGTAGTAAACCGGTATTTCTAATTTATTTATTTATAAATATAATAATTTATATATTAAAAAGTGAATTTAACTACATGGTAAAAAACTACCCCAGCTGGACACCATCCCAGTATTTATAAATGAACTTTCTATTGTTTTCCTTTCTTTATAATCTGATGTCTTCTGGACTCAAAATTAGTAAGAAGCAGATGCCCTTAAATCGTACACTTTCTAAAAAATGTCTTTATATTTTGAAGTCAGTAAACATCGGAAGTGGAGATGGGGGACCACACTTTCTCATAAAAGGTCTTTATATTTCGAAGTCGTAAAATATCGGCAGTGGAGTGGGGGTGAGGGGGATGGGTGGTTTGGGCAAAAAGTATCCTGAACTTCCCGTCGAAATATTTTGTAGCGGAACACTACTTTTACAGTCTCAGGGTAAAAAATTCTGGCATGGATTGTCGAGAAATTTGGATCTTCATTGGAAAATGTATGGCGCCGTCACTACATTACTCTCCGAGTGGAACTGGGGAGGGTGGGCGCTAAATTAATATTTTGTAGGTGTAGCCTGGTATAGGGCACTACTGTCCTTGGCAATTTTCTTTCAGATACCTGGTTGATTGTGTATGATAACATCCAAATTACAGTGAAAGCAAGCGTGTATGTGAACTACCGTACTGTATCGTAGACACGTCGTCGCAAAAAAAAAAAAAAAAAAAAAAACCTTCTAAAATATTTAATACTGGAATGGTGTTTCGGCGAAGTTAAGAAAATGTACATAATAGGTAACTATAGCGTGTACTATGCCATACTGTAGTTGTACAAGCCTGTATGCCTACATGGTGTTAGATTTAATTGCGGCATCCATTGTTGTGTTGTTCAGGCTTACATTTTTAGACCGGAGATTGTGCTCTAGCTAATGTCGGTTTTCAATAATTTTGTGGACTACCGTATTTTACAACATAGCAAATCTTAAAATTTGGCCATAATACAATGACATTGTATTTGAGTGAAAATGTAAACAACAGTAACAAAATAATAGAGCTAAAGTTTTGTTGTTGTGTAATGACATACCGTATAATTTGGGCAGATGTTTTTTGCAACCTACATTCAACAATGTAAATCTAAGTACTTTTTAAAATTAAGGGAAATCATTTTAATTTAATAAAATGTAATAATATTTATATAATCTTAAAGACGATCCATGGGTAGTATAGTATATAGT